AGAGAATAATATTATGGTGGCCGACAAGGAAAAACGTACCAAAAACAAAACAACTGCAAAAGAAAAAATGCTGAAAATTAGGGGGACCCAACCTGAGGGATGGACCAGTCTTGTGGGACCAGACCCTTTTTTTAAATTCTAATATTTTTTTTCCAAACAACCAAACGCTGCAGCCCCATATTTTTCCGTGATGTGACATTGTGTTTGGGCTTAAGTACACTTCACAGTATTTTTCTTCTTTTTCAAGAGGGAATCTTGTTTTCTTTGCTTTACTGTTTTTACTGCTTTACATTTCTTACTGATAGATGATGTGGAGCACTTGGACGAATAATTGTGCGTGGGCATTGCTTCTGTTGACCTTATTACAGTGTAGTCAATTACCCAGGCTCAAAAAGAGCACTGAGTGCCCAGGAAACACTGACTTGGCTTTCATTATTATTCTTTGTCTGTTTGGTAGATAGTAATTATAGTAGTAACTGCAGGGCAGTTGTGTCTTGGTGGCTCAACCTGTGCTGAGTTCTGAATGTAGTCCAGAGCTTTTGTCTTATAATCACAAACTCTCTCTTCAAATTGAACTATGTCACTAATGGAGGAAAAACATGATTAGAAATCAGTCTGCATTAGAGCCATTTCAGCAAGAAATGGAGTGAAACTGAATGAGTCATACTGAGACTGAGGGTCTGCTGAATAAGAGAAAAGAATCAAATGGAGTTTTTATGTTTGTCTCAAGTCACAGAGTCACTGGACATTGTGTACTGCAATATCACAGATGTCAGTATGAGCTTATCTGTATTTTCTCCCCACGTGCCAAGCTAAGCAAATGTTGTATCTAACATTACCATGATAATAAAACCTATGATATGATGTAATGTAAACACAGTGAAATGCAAATAAAGACCTCTTAGTTATAAAACACTAACAAACACTGGTTAAAAATGTACTCAGTCTGGGGTCAATATAGCATATACGCTATACTAGGTTAACTTGACCCAATACTAACAGAGTGTTTTGATCCAATGTTGTTTTCTTTTATTTTATTGTTGGGTGGTTTTCTCCATAGACGTATATTGACCATAAATTACAGCAAAATGTGGTGACACTTAGGTGCTGCAGCCTGTTTATAACACTATGATTATTATTAATATTATGAGAATTAATTATTTTCCAACACGTAAGTGATTCAGTTCTACATGCACCCATCGCTTGACCGTCTTACTGCTATTATAACCTATTAACTATCAAGATTCTAAGACACAAGATCTGGAGACAAACAAAAAAGATCTACTCCATGTTTATCATAAAAAAATGACTCAATGAAATCGGTTGAGAAATGTAAACGTTAAAGTGCTTTTTAACCAGAAACACAGCGACTCCACAGTTTACTTGTATTTGTGTACAGGCTCGTCTTGCCCGGTCCGAGAGTAGGTGAAACATCTTTCATTAAAGGTCCAGACTGTAACATTTAGGATGATCTATTACATTACATTAGAATGAGCCATTTTAATCTAGGCCACATGACAGTACCCGAGAATAGACAAACCTAACACTGGCTCTAAAAAGGGCTTTTCACCTTTTTCGTGAGTTTCGCAGTCATCATAGTTTCTCCTACATGCTTGGAAGCATAGCTTAGCATAGCATAGCTGACACAATTTTAAAATAATCTTTGATTCAGCAATCTGGCAAATTAGGTGACAATAAAACTAATTTCACTATCAATACCTCAGCCCACAGGCCACTCACTTTTGTTCAACTTTCTGAAACCTCTATTGATTAAAGGTGCTGCTCATTTATGCAGGTGTTTTCACTTAACCTTCCTGATCTGACCTCCGCTCAGGTCTCCTTCTATTGGGAGACTTTGGAAACCTATGAATCATAATCATTTTGCGTCCGTACTGACTGGTGAAGAGTTGCATGGCTGTTATATTTTGCATCTATAAACTTTGCATTGTGGGATTATTAGCAGGAGGTAACAGACATGGCATGGGTCCTACTTTTTCTGTTGTGTGAAGGGACATTTTCAGGGAACTACAAATTGGTTTAATGTGCATACTCAGAATTTTATCAGAAAGACATGACAAAATGATGGAGCGTAATATAGTGGACAATTGTAATTGTAAAATTTTATTTTTGGACACAGCCAATGTGCTTATGAAAATGATAAATTTAATAGGTTCAAATCAATCAAACAATCCTGATAAGAGACTAGCTGTGCCATCACTGTGTAGAGGCACTTTGAATTGCATGGTGGTTTTTTTCAATATTCAGTGATTATGTAATAATGTATTGTATAACATTGCCTACTTTAGAGTCAGTGTTCTAGGAATCAGACTTAAACAAGAATACAGTCAGCTCGTGCTTATAGGTCCAACTGAATGCGGAGCGAATACTGATACATACCTGTATATAACCTGCAGTGCACCATGGGAAGGATCCAGTCATCACATTCTCACCATTAGGGCAATCTCTGTTTTCATCTTGAAAGACCCCTTGCATTCCTCTCATAGGGGCAAAATGAAGAATAACTATATTATAATCCATTATACTTCTCCTGTAATTATGTTCAATGCCTCTTATGAAAAAACACAAAAAAACTATGGGCTGATTTTTGTGTCAGTAGAAATTTGATTTGAATCATTTAGAACTGAATCTGAATTGCTCAACTTGAATAATTGCATTAAAAAACTGAATTTGAATTGCATAATTTGAATTTGTATTGTTTAACTTGAATAACTGTATTGAAAAACTGAATCTGAATAGCATAATTTGAATTTGAATGTATTAGTCTGAAACTGAATAAATTCCAATAAACTTGAAACTGAATATAATATTATGACTCTGAATTCACTTAGGAAAAATTATAGCTTACTGTTCCAAATACCTTTATTTTGAAAACCAGAAGTAAATATGCTGTTTCTCCGCATTTACCATAATGCTGAGAATATTTGTACACTCGAAATTTAAGTGCGGCTGATTTTACCACAGTGATCGGAGTCACGGCTGGCTTGACCGCAGTCTACTAGCCTACTGTTTCTTCTACACAGCACCGTCCTGTAAATGACAACATCCGGTCTCAGAATATGAAAAAACAGGCCTTTTTTCCGTTTACATAATATATCAAATAAAACGTAAAACATAATTGCAGCTTTTACAAATATCTGAAGGTTAACTTTGGTAATAATAGTTTCAAGTTAAAATATCAGACTCTGAAATATAGATACAGTACAGTACAGTTGGTTACTTAGCAGTTTTTAAACCACATAAACACGTTACTATATTAGATGAGTAATTCCTTCAGTTATGTTGACATGTTGTACAGGATAAAGTATTCCAGGCAGGTTTCTGCCTCATTATGGTAAGTTTCCATGGTCTTAGTAAACTAATGTGTATAAAAATATAACAGATGGGAGGTTACAGCAATCATTATACTATTACTCTGATTACTTTGGTACATTTACTGGGTGTTTCTTCACTAGAAACAACTGCTTGACTAATGTTGTTAATATTATGTAATATATAATATGTTTAACTTCACTGGGCTGTGTAGACTGTAGGTCACTGCTCACTGCTGTACCTGTAAAGACAAGCATAAAACACAGTGTTGGTTCTCATAATTAAGGTATAAACACTAACATTATGTGATAGAGGTTTATATATATATATATATAGCAGTATTTACCTGAGGAAAACGTCACAGAAAGCTGAAATCCCGATTGTTGATGTTGTTCATTTCTCCGTGATTTCAGACTCCCGCTCTAACATGTCCGCGGGTTAAGTTTTTGGTTTAGAAGCAGTTATTGAATTAATATTGACGGTAGAAATGCAGCTAAACTCAGTAGCAGTGAGGAGCTACCTGCTGGCAACGCTGAGGCGGAAGTGGGAGGGGCCGGAGTGTCATCCGCGTCATAATGCCGACCAATCAGAGCAGACTGGGCTTTTCGGGAGGGGGGCCTTAAAGAGACATGAGGTAAAACCGATCGATTCAGACAGAGGCTGAAAAGAGCTGCCCAGCTATAGGCAGTATGAGAAGAATAATGTGTTTTTTGAACATTAAAACCTAAACCTATTGTAGTAGAGCCACAAAATACAATTATGAACCTGAAAAGAGGCATAATATGTCTCCTTTAAGCATGTTTTTTTCGCTAGCCAATGTCTACAGGTCCAGGAAATGGTCAAAAACAAACGTGCTGCTTGGCCAAAAATGCATCTGTACTCGATTCTCTTACTGAACGACCTTGACCTGTCTGTGACCTTAAAAGTTGAATCTTGTGGTTTGAAAATGAATTGAGAGAACTGAATTTGAATTGAGAGAACTGAAAGTGAATTCAGATTCATAATATATAATCTAATATAGTTTCAAGTTTATTGGATTCAGTTTCAAACTAATAAATTCAAATTCAAATTATGCTTCAGTTTTTCAATACAGTTATTCAAGTTAAACAATACAAATTCAAATTATGCTTCAGTTTTTCAATACAGTTATTCAAGTTAAACAATACAAATTCAAATTATGCAATTCAAATTCTGTTTTTTAATGCAATTATTCAAGTTGAGCAATTCAGATTCAGTTCTAAATGATTCAAATTCAGTTTCTACTGACACAAAAATCAGCCCATAATTTAATTATCACTGAGGGGAACAACAGGTGTAATAATAAGTGAGGGCACTTAAGACACGTTTTGGCTCCCAAGAGGGAGCAGGCGTTTAGCAGGCGTTTTTCAACAATTGCCCCCCCCCCGCACGCCACTGTTACAGCCTTGCGTCTGGTAACAAGTAATGACTGGTACAATGTCAAAGAAGAAAAACTGAATTGAATCAAGCTGCAAAATTAAGTAAAGTGACAAATTCCATAATCATCAAAATAAGCATATGCTGTCCAAAAACCTAAGCAGATTAGTAAGACCATGTGTGCGTCTGCTTGGGGTGAGAGAGAGAGAGCTCCAGTTTTCTTCCCATTCAAAAGCTTCCACCTCTGTCTCTTCCCCTTGTTCATTCATTGGGAAACACACAGCTGATGGAGAAACACACTCTGCCTCTGGTGTGACAGCAGAGCGCACGTTCACACTGAGGATACAGGCACCTTCTTTTTCCTCACTTTAATCTACGGATAATTAGTGTTTTTTTTCTTCTTTCTTTAATACACCTGCTGCAGCATGAGCGCTGAATGCAGCAGCTACTACAGCGCTGACAGTGTGTTTGTGGACGGATTCTCCTGCCCCAGACCGGGAAACGCTGTCACTGCTGTGTACTGCTGCGGATTTAATGATGTGAAATATTGCTGTGATGATCCCAACAGTTTTTTCCCGTATGAATACGGATACATGTGGTGGCTGAGGTAAGCGCAATTTCCATGTGGCACAAAGTGTTTGTTTGGGGTTTTTCTTATTGATAATCCCCCCCCTCATTATTTCATTACTTATTTTGTCACTTAATTGAAATTCTGAATTAACAAACTAATCGCTGTGCGGTGGCAAGAGGTGCGTTTGGGTGATGTTAGGGGGTGGCAGAAATATATGCTGGTTTAACCGCAAGCAATCACATATATCAATATTTACTTGGAAAAGCCCCCAAATTAAGATATTTGAACTCAAAAACATTCCATTGTTGTGGCACATTAGTAAAACATTAAATAGATATATTTAAAGGTGCATTATAAATCAATGAATCGTTTTATTTCCAAATCTTCAGACATTTTCCCCAATTAATGTTAAATGTAATAATTGTTTTAGCCTTTCACTTGGTCTAAAATGTGGCCATAACAGAACATTAATTTATAGGTATTAATTCCGTTATTTGTGAAATGAATCAAAATCAGTGTGTTAAATTTGACAGCATTTGACACCAAGCTGGGGTAGCAGCTGAGTGGCAAGGCATTTTTTTGGCCACCCCATGCCACCCTAGAACCCTCCCTGTCCCTGTGTGGCAAACATTCTTTATTTAGATTTTTAACTATGTGGAAATATGGCACCTGCTTTGAACCTTTACTCACTTCTGCTGCTGGAGTCCTTTGTACTTAATACTTTAAGCCAGTGAGAAAGGTACAACTACACCATACACAATAAGATTTATTTCATTTGTGGATGAAAAACAAATTTTAATTACTATTGTATTCATGTTTAAATGCTGTACCATTATGGGGAATATTCTATTTCATTAGTTTGATGCAATATCTCTCCTCATACCCTTTACTGCATTATTTTTCTATATTTAATCTTCCCTCATTCAATATATTTTTTTCCACCTCTCCTCTCCCCTCAGTATCGGCGCTCTGGTTGGTCTGTCCATTGCTGCAGTGGTCCTCCTTGCCTTCCTCATCACTGTATGTGTCCTCTGCTACCTCTTCATTGCCACCAAACCCAGTCGTCTTGACAACGGCCTACCCCTCAGAGCACCAGGTACGTGCGTGTGTGGGATCTCTGTGATAGACTATGATAATAGGAATTAGTTTCTTTCTGGAAGCCTTGAATTCAGAGAAAATCTCTGCAATCAGTTGCATTTCTGGTTTTAAATCACCCACTTCTTTGCAATTCTTTATGTGATTCTCAGCAGGAGATGCCAGTGAGGGATCGAGTCAAGTGAGAGCGACATGTGCCACTGGTCCGCAGGGATTCAGAAAACATTTCATGAGCAGGAAGCTGGACTGTGATAACCAGCCGCCAGACCCTGAGGTGCTGTTCCAGAGGTGCTTCACAGCTAACGTCACCAGTGTGAAAGTGGAAAGTCCCTCATAGTTCTCTGTGATACGTTAAAAATGGGACCAGCTGTCCAAAGGGCAAGAGAACTGCTGAATCTGAAGGCAGACTGAGCTGCCAGGTGGAGGCTATGACAGTAGCTGACATAATTTTGTGTGTGTGTGTGTTTGTGTGTGTGTGTGTGTGTGTGTGTGTACAGGGGAGTTGTGGTGGTTGAGCGCAGTAAAAATTGTGTAATACTAACACCCGGAGAAAAAACAGAAGCACTCTGAGGGCTGTAGACCAAACTTAGCAAGCATGCACAATGGAGGCTCTAAAAGCCTTAATGAATTTCTTCAAGCACAAAATTTCTCTCCTCCTCATGACTGCATAAGGAAGTATCTCACCACCAGGCAGTAGTAATTGAAAGTGTATGCATCGTCTTGGAAGACAATGTTCATAATTGGTCTCAAGATAGCCAAAGACTCATTAACATTTGTTGAATCATTAAGGGATATGCTAGGACAATTACTGAATGGGGAGAGGCTGGAGTGTTTACTCAGGATGTACAGTTTCATGTATATCTAGGAATGATGCTAAAGCTGTGGTCCGGACAGTAAGGCTGTAAAGTCTGTAGCCACATCTGCTACATTTTACTCAGGGACTGAAGGAGGATCTACAGCGTGATGAGACTCAACTTTTTGAATTTCCTCACCAGAAAAATGAGAGCATTGGGTATTCGTTCAAATGCTTAAAATGATCTATGTTTACGTTTTCATGACAAGACACCTCTAGTAATTATAAAAGTATTAAGGTTGGGCATGTCTGATTTTGACACCAGAGGCTCCTATCAAACTTAAAAGCTGATTTCTTTTAATTAAGGCCATGATTAACTGGCCTATTTATTAAAGTTTTTTTTTTGTTGTTGTTGCCATTTTTGCCTTTAAGTGATAGCAGACAGACAAAATTAAATGACTGTTTACAGCAAATGGTGAAACAAATTTTAGATGTGCTCTGTGATGGAGCTCTCAAAGAGTCTGAGTAGCAACAAGGATTTTGGTGAGATAACTAATCTCTCCTTAACAAACACATGCATGGACATTAAATCCTAATAAACGATACAATACCAAAATCTTTAGCATGAGGAGGGTGATGCAGGGAGCTGTGTCAGCAGATAACAGTGATGGTTACCATGTTGTAATGGCCCGCTGTACAGCTGGATGAATATGATTGGATGGTACTAGTGAGCTGATAGACGCACAGCTGTGAATAATCCAGTGATTGTGAAGCATGAATGAAACAGCTGATACCAATCAGTGCTCTGCCTGAACTAACACTATGCATAATTTTACTTAACTAACCAAGCCGGCTGAGTTCGGACCGACTTTAACTCTGCATACAAATGAAATCAAACCAGCCCCCTCATTCATTTGAATGAGCCCAGTGAGTTGATGCAGAGGAAGTGCCAAAGCAGGGATCCTCCTGGTAGATGACTTTGTAACTAGAACACCATATTTTTATTGTTTACTTCACGTTTGTGGTGATAAATGCAATTGCCGTCATGATTGTTTCTGAGTTGTAAAATCCTGTCTCAAGAGTATTATAAATCCCTTTACAGCGTTTGGGCGTTTGAGAAAACTTCAAATTCACACATCTGCTACTCAAACTAGAACTCCTTGTTTGTATTTCATTGCTCACCTTAAGCAACAAGCCCCCACCACCGCAGCATCTTGCATTGTTTTAACATTGACATTATGTATGGTGTTCAGAGCTAGTGGGTCTGTGAAGTGAGGCCAAAGCGGAAGTGTCTTCAACAATTTGCATTCTTTCAGTGTCCTTTATGTGACAATTCCAAATTAACTTAAAGGAAAGCTTCATAAACACATTCATGTGTCTTTATATGTACTTTTAATATGAGGCTTAGATAAGTGATCTTCAAAAGTTGTAGTCAACAAAATTCCTTCTTTGTGTTTCCACAATGTTTCTTTGCTGAGTTGCAGGAGAGTAACAATAAGGGCACGGTCACACATGCACAAATTTAGACAATGACCGTCGCCTGCTGAGAAAGGCAGTGAACGGGAGGCGAATATGCGCCAATGTTTATTATGTGTGAATGTGACCTAAAGGAGAATTTGGCGTTTATAATACACTTAATTTGTCTCAGGCTTATGAAGCTTCATATTAATTACTGTTGACTGGAGAATGCAAGAACAAAGACTGCGCAAAAAAGCAATTATGACACGAACCAGTGTACATACTGTAAGGGAATGTTGAGCATTGTTTTATTACAGACCTAAAAAATGCGAAACTATCCTAACTTCTTATTTAGCCAAACGTACAGTACATTTGGATCACTATTTCACATCAATACACATTGTATAGTAAATGGCAGTATGACACTGTATAATGCAATGTCACTAGATGTTACACCAGCTGTTTGGCATCTGTCTGAAGAGTTCTGATTGCTTTACAATGTTACTTAAGAGATCACAAAACTGCATTTCTTTGGACCCACTTACATACTATGGTTGGTATGTAGTCAGCTCCTTCTCAAAACTCTCAAGTGTCCTTGTTTTAGCAACGGAGAATTGTTTTATGCAAAGTGTCATGTCTTGTATTCATGAGAAGGTTTTGCTTATGTAATTGTTTCTGTATGTGGAAAGTGACCTCAGTGTTTTAAACCTCAGTGTTTTTGTTCTGTCTGTTATATTCTCCGTTAAAATGATATTATTATATGTTACTTCATAAAATGTTGCGCAAATGTTTGGAGGAGTTTCTGTTGTACTCACACATTATGTTGATAAATTCTATTTCTATTTATTTATTTGTAATTCTCAACATCAGGCTGTGTGTGTGTAATTTGCTGCAGCATACATCAAAGAATAACAGAGGAAAACAAGACTGGGAGTTCAATTTACTTTGTTGATGGCAATGTTTTGCAAATGCACAGCAGGAATGTACATAGTGGTATATCCACACAGTTCTTGAAAGAGCATCAATAAAATCTGGATCAGAAGGCAACCTGATTATTATGCAGTGATGGTGCCATTCCACTGGTAGTCTAAACTGGCCAGATGTCATGTAGAAGAAAAGCAACAAACATAGCTCATACAATTTACATTGTGAACTGTAACAGGATATTGATGCACATACACTCAGATATGTGTTATCTACAAAGGAATATCAATGTGGAAACTGCTAAAAGTAAGATAATTATGACTTAAAGATTGATTATTACTCTTTCAATTGCAGCCATTATAGCAGTGTGTGGTACTGGCACTATTCTGAAAGGAATTCATCTCCTCATCGATTTATCTTAAAGTTTCTTAGAACAAACTTATGAGCAACTCCACTGCCAGTGCCAAGCTGACATTTGTTGTGTTTGTAGTAAACACATCCAGCTTCAAACTCTGATGATGAAGGCTTTTCCTATTTTTTCCCTTTGCTTTAAAGCCACTTTGCCAACTGAAGACATTGAGAGAAAAAGATGAGATGTGTGGTGAGACTTAAAGTCAGACAGTTTGGGTGCTAAAGCTTTGGGTTCTTAATCTCTCTCTGGAGTGAGGCAGGGACTTGGAAAGCCAGCAGGAGCATTTCTGAAAATGTATGTGGTAAAAAAGAAAAAAGACTGAGTGAAAAGGATGACAGTGACAACCAAATTGCTTTGATCATTGTTATAAGCATTAGACAATCTTTTTCATGGCCTTATCTACTTGTGTGAAAATAAAGGATTTAATACATCCATAACATAAATAACCCAATGCCTCCTCCCTCAATGAAGAGTTTTAGCACACTGCACTGGTTTATAAGCACCAAAGACATTTTTCTCTGCTTCAGGTCTGCATAATGAGAAATGCTATAATGGATTAAAATTGGCTGGATCCTTTTTCTCAGTCTAACTGCACACTTATCTGCACACAGAGCGAGAAGTTTATTCCTGGAATAGTGAACAACTTGACTTGCAAAACCTCCATTAGCATCTATTTAGCTTCAAACTATGCAGAGACTTCTGTATATTAATAAGCCATGTGAATGTATTGGAGGGTTGATGAGAAGTAACTGTTAATTCGGAAAAAAGGCAAATGTGTACAATATGATGGCTGCATTCAACCGACCAGTCAATCTGGTTTGTTATTGAATGCCCTATGAGCTTGTGTCAGTATGAGTCAGAATTGCCCATAATGACACAAATTGTATTTTGATTGCTTCCCCTCAGAACTGAAGGTCATCACTATTATTATGAATAAAAGGCTTTCAATAGATTAAAACACAATAGCCAAAACAATCTTATAAACATATCATAGTAGGTGGCAGATTATAGAGAGTGGACTGTGGTGAATAGATGTACTTTTGACAATCATTCATAATTACCCATTTCAATAAGGCATTCAATCCCTGTCGCCACTGATGTGATTAGCCTTATTTCAAAATATTTTCACCTTTCATGAAAGTGTTTCAAATAAGACTCTAATATAATACAATGTAATAGGATCAAATGCATTCGACTGTGTATATGTTTCAAGAAAGATACGAGATGGATTGACTTAAACTTGACCGGAAAGTAACTATAAAGTTAATATCACAACTCAAGTACAACATTCTATTATGTTTCCATATATGTAGAATTCCAGTTTTAATATGCACATTGGTGGCTACTGATTAAGACAGTATTCCATAAATATATTAAGCTTTTAAATTAGATTACTCTATTTGAAATTATTTATGCTTTGCTTCTTTAGTTGGCAGTGGTGGAACGAACTGTACCAAACCAGTAACATATTTTGAGATGAGTAATTATTGTACATCACTAAATGAAAGTATATGCTGGTTGGAGCTGATTAAAAAGAAAAAAGTTCCACAAAGAAAAAAAAGTCTTGTTCATTCGAGATAAAAGGACTTCATGCCTAAGCTGATGCAAAGGAAGAAACAGTGCTAATTTAAGAGATTACTGTGTGCTTTGAGTACGTCCTTTTGAAGTTACTGCTTTCTCACACAAAAATGTCTTCATGATCTCTGTGGTTTGTGGCTCAGTGGCATCATCTTTTAAAAAATGATTTATTTTAAGACAGCAGAAAAGTAAATTAATTAAACTGCAGCAAAAGCTGTTTTTCTGAGTTTTGTGTACAAAGTGAATTTCCCAGTTATCCTTCGCACAGCAGGCTGTATTCTTAGTAATAAAATGTGCTGCGAGGTGTCTCTGAATCGAGTGTCAGAAAAAAAAGACACTTGAAGCTCTTCTGAAGACACAGTAGTTATTTTCACTGGCATTTTTTGCTCCTGTCAAACTTTTATTCACTACTGTGGCTCGCTGTTCACTGCTATATAGAAGTCCTGCATGAAAACAGCCTAATCAAAAGAGAACACAAATATCTTTTGTCAAGTGGCAAGTAGAGCCCACCCACAGCCACCCACAAGGAAAAAGTACATGAAAACAATCTGGACATTGCAAGGAGCTCATTTAATAATTAATACATTTGTTATGTATTTTGTCAGTATTGCTTCATGTTGCCACAAAATGCTTAAATTAACTCTCCGAAATGCTTTCTGGTAACATTTCTTTCCAGTTCAACTTTGAATCCTCCCTGGCAGACATGACAATGTCAGACAGTTAAATGAATTGTGAATGAATGAAATTACACTGTCACTGTTCACATTGTCCATAATTAGCCTGTAATTATTGTTGAAAGTCGTTTGTGATAAATTATCTTAAAGAATTGCTCTTGCGTTTTAATGATAATGGCATTAAAAAAATAAGGGGTTTAGGGGCTTCCTTAGGTTTGTGCAAATTGTTGTTTTCTTTTGGAACATTTTTAATAGAAGTTTTTATGAAATATCTCGATTTTAAACTTAGATTTGGTTATTTTCCCCATCATTCATTCAAGGGTGGCTGGAAATGTTAAAATCAGATAAATATTTCTACTTTTACAGTTTCTGACTGTAAAATATGAGGCAACCTGCCTCCTCAGTGCCACCACTTAGACATCTGATGATTTAGTGGTTCAAGAAAAAGAAATATGAAAGAAAAAGCCACTGAAGCAATGTAAGGCCAGAGATTTCCCCTACATAGACACACAGCATGTAGACTCTGTGGAGTGTGTTTGTTTCACACATGTGATAACAGTGCCACTGTCTGGCCTCAGAGCACAGATGCAACAATTGTGACAATTTATCCACAGGCTTTCTTTGATTGATTATTGACCTCTATTTTGGAAGAGTAAATTGTGGAAATAACATTGTTGCCTTGTCTTATAACCCGTAACAAAAATACTGAATGTATATAAAAACATGTTTGAAGTCACTCCTGAATTGAATACGGAGTGAAAAGGGAATTAGGAGGAGAAATGGGTGGTTGACCTGATAAAGTTACTTATTAACATCTCTGTCTTAGGGCATGGTGCAGGAAGGGTGACATTATAGTCTGCAACCTTTGCCCAGCAAGACTTATTTTTCAACAAGGAGCTGAAGAGGAAGACAAAAACAGCAGTTAAAAGTCAAGTCTAAGAGACAAACACCTGCTCTGTCAGTTATCCTATTTTGTACAGGTAAGTCATTTTAGATTTGTCTTCTGTGTTTGTGTGTTTGTGTTGTTGTTGTTGTTGTTGTTGTAGTAGTGCCTTATATGTACCAATATGTGTTTCTTGGTGATGTAGGTTACACAGTATTTGGTCTGCTGTAGTCATATGACCAGTGTTTGACTGAGACACTGCTACTGTGTTGGCCTGCATTCATTTTACCATTATCGCCTGTATCTATTGTTGCCTCAAATTACACATAGCCAAAATATACTGTATGGAAACACTGTGTCTACTGTCTGGATTGGGGATTATTATCCATAACATAAGTATGTTCATTCTGTTCAAAGTTAATTAGTAAGCATTTCAGGACTATTATAATGAATGTTGCTCAAGACCTCCCTAATATCATGTGATGGCTTCTGTGTGCATTCTTGTTCAGGTCAAATCGTTTGTTAATAAATCGTCATTTTTATTGGCTGGTTGAAGGCACCTGTTAGCTCATGGATTACACATTCATTAGTTTTTTATATTTTTATTTGGAATGAACGATATCATCAGCTGATGATGATAAGAGCCTTTTATATTCTGCTCTGGAGGAGGTTTATTGCGGATATTTCATGGTTTTGATTCCCCAAAACAAAGGATTACAATCATTGTGCATGTAAATAAAGTCTAATAATATCTTTGAAACTAAATGTGTGTAAATGGAAGATCAATCAATCAAATTCTATGAAAAAATAGAAAGGGTTAGGACAATAAAGAGGAATTTGGTCAATAAACTCTAAACATGCTTTAAGAATTCATATATATAATTATAATTTCATTTATGATCATATAATTCCTTTCATATACCAGCATCGGTTTTAAAGATTATTGATAGTTACAAGACACTAGTTTGTTGGTTATGAAATGTGAAAAGTGGCATGGGTCATACATTAACGGATGGATTCCCATTCTCTTATAACAACACCTATATGTACATAAAGTTACTGGTAGCTGGAGTTGTTCCTTCTCTCTAAACTGGCTGCAAAAAAACCAACAACTTCTCATTTCTAAAGATAATATGTGAGATGGCAACAAAATCACAGTCTTTGTGTAAAAACAACAACATCTTTTTTAAGTTCAGCTACAGCCTTGAGTTAGTCAAATCGTATTTTCCAAAGGTATGGTCTTCTTAGTGCAAATTTCCCTCCTTGCATTTCCCTGCATAGTGTTTCCTCAGGATGGTATCACAAAAGGGAACAATTTTCAAAACCTAAGCATTTAAAATGCTGTGCCTCTCCCAAAACCCACTCATGATCGTCAGCAGATGTAATCAGTTGATGATTTGCCTTCTTTAGGTTTCTTCCCTCAGGACACAGAGATGGGTCGGTGGAGCTGCAGCGTCTTCGTGGTGTTTTTGTTCTGTGGAGCTTTTATTAAAGAAGCACATCTGGCTACAGTATCTGATGTTGGAGGACACAAAGGTGCTCAGAGACACCTTCTGATGGAAGAAGATCACTTAAACAGTAACAGTACTGACATTCGAAGTGAGTAACAAAAGACTCACTCTGTTGAGTATTTTACCATCATCCATAACTATTTATGACCAGGTGTGTTTGAGGGACTTTGAACTTTATAACACTTCATTTACAGGAAACTGAATGCACTGGTGTTAACCTCACTGTATTTAAAGTTATCTTATTTTTTTCCTGCTCACTTCCTAGGGGCAGCCAACCCAGACAAGGGCTCAAAGTCTGTGGAGTGGTCCTATCTGGCTGCAGGACTGGGCACAGTCCTCACCATCTCACTCATCATTGTGATGGCTGTCAAGTTTCGCCTCTTCCATCGCTTCATAGCCAGCTACAGACACTCCCTGCTCCAGGAGGCCGACGGGGTCAGCCAGTACGGCCAGGAGGAGGCGTCCTTCCCTAACAGCGGGATGGGTAGAATGGGAGTGGCTGGAGGGACTCCAAGAGGACTGGACGAAGATGATGATGGCTTCATTGAGGATAACTATATCCAGGCCAGTGAGAAAGACAGGGCAGAGAGAGAAAGAGAGGAGAATGGCGAGGAAGGGGTAGAAGACAGCGACGATGATCTTCAGTTCACTATAGGGTGATTAGATAAAGGGAAACTTCATCGGAAACTGCAGGTTTACATCTAAGATTTAATGACACTATGGAGAAGATGTTGATTCTAAACCTTTCTGGCTTGTAACCCTTTAAAATGAATCATACTGCCTACCTGCAACCTCTTCACACAGCATCACACCATGTCAATGAACTATTAGGGGTTCCACCAAAGAGTGAGTTCCCCTCAAAAAGTCTCATATTGTTTCATTTAAACAATTGCTATAGGCCAGAAAGGGCATAACTCTACATATCACATAAAAAAGATTTTATTTGTTTGTCAGAATTGTGTTTTTTTTCTTTTTTCTTGTTCCATTTAATCATTTCGGGGGATTATCCCGTGAGCCCTTGGAGGGGCCATGACCCTTAGCTTGGGAACCGTTGAAAGTGCACAGTAGATAAATGTATGATAAATGTGAAAAATGAATGAGGCACAGTTATATATATCCAAACCTGGACTAATATTTAGGAGGATCTACTGGCATAAATGGAATATAATACTCATAGTTATGTTTTCATTAGTGTATAATCAACTACATATAGGAACGGATGAGTTTTCGTTACCTTAGAATGAGCCGTTTTTATCTACAGCCGGACAAACCAAACATTGGAACAGTAAGTACACTTCACAGTCAGTTAATTAGTTACTCAATCTGCAACTTCACCACTAGATAGCACTAAATCCTACACACTTTTCCTTTGAATAGCACTATAATAAAGTAAATATATAAACAGAAGTAAATAGATTTTCTGAAAATTGTTACTGTTTGAAATTATTTGAGTGCAATATAATAGTTGTGAGCACATTGTCATGGTTTTGGATTTTCTTTGGTGGTTTCCTGTTTTATTTTGTAATGTTCCTTCTCTTGGGCCTTTTTTTTCCTTCACTTCCTGTCTTTGTCTGTTTTCCCTCCAGTTTTGATTATTTTCACCTGTGTCTTGTCATCCCTCCCCTCACCTGTGTATTGAGTCTTTGTGTTTTCTTGGTTCTGCGTCAGTTCCCCATGGATACTCTGCTCTTGGTGTTTTCCCTACCAGTTCCTGTTTGTTTTTCCTCTTTACTTTTTCTGGAATTATACCAGTTTACCTGTCTGCCTACCTGTTCTTGCACCAGCCTGTAAGTTTTCTTCAATAAATCACTGAAGTTATTCTGCTGCCTGGCCTGTCTTGCATTTGGGTCCAACCCTTATATTTTTCTAATTGTAACCCACATCCCATCATATACTTCGACTGGGTGCACGATATCAGATTCAGTGAAGGAAAAAGTGTTATCTGCACCTTGCTGATGTCATGTTTGCCTACAGTATATATACTTTGCGCTTTTCCCAAAAGAGATCCAGTAAGTCGATATGTTGCCAGACAGATTATCATACAATATAATAAAAGGAATGTGTTGTGTCTGTATATATCCATCTATAAGTTGTTGCTAATGAAAAATGTTGATGGCATCGTTTGAGTAAGTAAAGTATTTACATTCAAGTTATGCTGGTTGATTTATAATTTGGCTGTGAATCAACAACAAAGAATGAATGAAACAACTTGACACTTTATTGTTTTTGTGTAGTCTGAATGTAAAGAAAGTTACAGGTTTCAGCCTAAAAGTGCCCAGCGTGTGCGAAAGGCAGGAACTTGAGTGTGTTCATGTAAGATGGCAAAAGATATTTTAAAGCATTTGTACGTATAGTCTGAAATCATTTTATTAGAAATGTACTTCAAATGTCATATCCATTCTTTCATTTACTTTGCTAACTTTCTAATCTTTGAGTCAGTGAAAACAAATATTATGAATACAGAAAAAATGTGAAACAGTAATATTTTGATTTGCTATAACTTACAGTATAATAAGAGTCTATAATTTCAACCACAAATACTCAGTTGTATGAAAATGGTGCATCCAGCCAGTAAAAACATGCAGAAGGATTACTGATCCATCAACTGTTTTGTTACAACCTTTCTCTCAGTGATTTCGCCCATTTAGTCCATTCAGATCAGGCTGGTCCTGCTGGAGGATGTCTCTCTCCTGGCCTGGCTCGTCTGTCCTCCTGACACACTGAACACCCTGACAGCTCGGCTGCCCAACCTTCTCACTCTGCTCATTCTCATCATCATCATCATCATCATCCCTCTGCTCCCTTCTTCTTTTAAGGTAGATGAGCACACTGTAGCCCACCACAGCTAGAGCCATGCCTGTCCCAGCAGCCATCAGCACCAGACTAGACACCAACATTTCCCTGCTGTCATGACCTTGGTTGCCAATTGTGGCTACGCAGAGAAGCACTGTCCCACAGACCATCACTGCCAGCCCCACAGCTAAGATCAGCGCTGGGTCAGCCCTCCCGCCGCTCTTCAGCTGGTCGATCCGACGTCGGCTGTGCACACAGTTCATGTCCTGTATGGCAGAGCTGAGAAGCTGCTTGAGCAGAACAGCCAGGGCTAATAAGCAGAGGGTCGTACCCACCCCAAGGCGCCACTCGCCAGACAGGCTGGTGGTGGTGGAGGAGAGGAGGCCCACACCACCCAGGCCCAGCCCCACTATGAGGGCCACCGAGGCACAGTAACACAAAAGGGAGTGGCGTGGCTCTCTGAACCACCAAAGCTCCACTTGATCTTCCACGACACGACGCTGCATCAGCGTGGGGTCCAGGTAGAGCTCAGAAGGGTGATGGATGGTGTGGCGGGGCTGGTAGAAGGTCTGCATCTCAGGTGTGGCAGTGGTCCCAACGCCAATCCACAACCGCCTTGTAAGATTGTGCTGTATTTCAAGTCAATGATCAAAATACAACCGTATAAAAGTGTTCAACAACATGAATTTAACAGTAACTCTTCTATTTACAACAACCAATATGGTAACCGTATTAAACATCCTGGGCTTCAGCTAAACTTCTGTGAAAAGTCCCTTGGACTTAAATGAGTGTCATGTGTTGCTCTCCATCCATCTGCATCCCATCACACAACCTTAGCCAAAGCATTACAATGGTTAGTTTGGAAGATCAGTTACTTGGTCTTGTCCATGTTTCCATTCTGAATAAATGATGTTCCATGTAAAAATAATCCAGTTTCCGGGAGAATCTTCCACCAGTTAAGTTGTACATTTCATTTGCTCAAGCTGCTTTCAACTCTTCTCAGTATCCTGACTTCAAGCTGGAGGCAGAAAAACTGCAAGGACCCATCTGCAGAGACGCAGGCACTTCCACTGTGTAATACTCACTGCAAGTAGAGAAATCATAGTGATGTTGACATCCTGGCTGGGGGTTGTATACGTAGCCCGTCCACGTTTGTCACGATCACCACAGAGACTGTACTAGTGTCACAGATTGATAATCTTTGCCCTCTTCACATTCTCTACCCCAGTGCCAGGCAGACCAGAGGACCCCCCTCCTCCTCCGCTCATCACAGGGGAACACCATCTTGTCTGGTTAAGTGGGGAAAAAGACGGGTCACAATAGCAGTGTTGGATCATGGTTTGGACAGAGATTGGCGACATTGTCCACCAAGCCTGCGCACAGACAATGGGCTGACCGGTGAACACAATGACTGTGCTGCAGGAGGCGGGCAGTGGTGTGTGTGAGCCGTGGAGGGGTGTTGCATTGCTGTTGTGGAGGGCTGAGTGATGTCAGTGTGTACTGATAATGGTGTTTCTGTGATCCTAAGGATAGCGTCATTCACACACTATTCTGAGCCTGTTAGATAGCCCACAGTGAGTGGGACACTTGAGCCTGCTGATCTGTGTTTTCCAGTACTACACCTGCATAGCTAAAAATATGTACTCAAAACATTTTGCTTTGAATTTAAAGGATTATAGTTGGACACTCTGGGAAATACACTTTTTTTGCTTTGAGATTTAGATGAGAAGATTGATACCACTTTGTATCTACCTATTAAATATAACATGTCTTATCTTATTAGTTTAATTCATATAGAAACATGTAAAAATGAGATGTCGTTTTACAAGTGGCTATGTGCCTGAATATTTCTCCGCCCCCACCATAAACTCTGCCCAGCCAGCCAAGAGATAACTGAGATATGTATTCATTAGTGAGCTTTAGGTGGGCTTTTTAGCTTTGGGCACCGCCAGGCTATCCATTTCACCCCATTTCCTCTTTTTGCCAAGCTAATCACCTTGCGGCTGTAACTTCATATTTAACAGACAGATTTTGTGAGTGTAATCTTCTCATCTAACTCTTGGAAAGAAAAAATAAGTGTAACAAAAATGTCATAAGTTTATTTTACATGATCTGCAGTATAACTTTTATATTTACATTTCCTTCCCCAGAATTATGGCATCTGAGACGCTAGTGCACTTTTGGATTGTTTGTAAGCAATCTTCAACCGTAGCCGTTCAATAGGCTTTTCTTACAGTGGACAGTCGGACTTGTCAAACAAATATGTAACTGATAGAATTACAGTATTGATGGCTGCATTCTATTTAGTTTTTCCAGTACCAGGGCCATGCTATCACACTTGCTTGCTTGGACAGTGGAATGGAGCTATTTTAAGTGTAAGTACACCTAACAAGTCTTCTAGCAAATGTAAAAAATGCATCAGAGACCTGCAAAGGTCAGCCACTTTAGGGGCGTGGCCTCGACACTGGATTGACTGACAGACTGGCAGGAACAGTTAACTGGAGTACCAGCTATAAGCAGCTGCTGACCGACTCTGTATCTGCACTGGAAACACACAGAGCTTTTACAGTCACTAGAAGCACATTCACTTCTTTTTGTAAAAACTGTGTAGTACATGTGTTGTAGCTAAGCTAGCAGCTCAGAGAGGTTAACCTGTGGGATCAAGGTAAATGTTGCAGTCTGGTGGTGCTTTTTCAACCATCTAAAGCACATGTCTAAACCATTGTGCCAAGATAGGAAAAGTACCAAGTAAAGGGTCAGCAAAAACTCTACTAAACACTACTTTTTATATATATATAAATGTCGTGATGTAAAGTAGTCCCAAATGGTCGACTCTCTCAGCATTGGCCTTGCAAGGTTCAGGGTGATGAGAGGAGAGGGATGTAGAGATGTTCCGCACATGCACACCTAATCCTTGGGCTTTGAACCTTTCCAGTTAAAAGTTAACTGAATGACCTCAAAAGCTACAGCAACTATTCCTGTAACATTATAAACAGTTCTGAGTGGTGCTGCAATCTGAACAAAATGATTTCAAATGAGCAAATTGTTTTGTAATTTCCAGTGACAGAATGCAATCAAGAAAAAGACAGATGCAGAGCCACTATATCTCTCAATCTAAAACTCCTTGTTCAGGTCCAACATTGTGACATGTTACAAGTGGCAAATGACAGGAACTGGCAATGAAGAAACTCAGTAGTGTGTCCATACTGTTGTACAGGTCTATAGTAGAAAAGTCACTGTTGCATAACTTTTCAACAGTGGTGATGTGCTGATGCTGAGCCACTTGGTGTCCTTTACTTATTTTGCAAAATGCAGAGGGACAAGCCAGTGAAGGCCACCTTGCTGAAGGAGTGGGGCCAGAGCTCAAAATGCACTTACTCCCCCTAGTGAACGATAAAATATATAAACACATGAAGGAATGGAAGGCTGATGGATGGATGAATGGAAATTATTGCACTCACTTATTATACAGCATGTTATGTCATCGCTTTGAACAAAGTGCTACCTACAGTTGGTCCTTGACAGCCATTATCAGAGATGGAGATGTAACTGCTGCCTTTCTATCTGATTGTTCAAACACCTTCTATTGGAGAAACAATGATTTTAAACCGTTTTTCTACAGTCAATTTCATCCAGGCTGTTTCATTTGAATGGTTCCTAAAAGACTTAATTTCTTGCAATGACCAGAATTAGTACTGAGTACTGAGACGGGGTTGACTTTACGGGTGCCGGTTGATCTATACCCGGTAAATTATTTTTTTTTAAGTCAGAGTTGCTTTTATAGTAGAATATGAATGCGAATCCTAAGGAGAAACTCACTGGTCCGCCCCCAGTAAATCTGATTCATTCACAAGGTGGAAACAAATTACTCATGGTACATTAATAATGTATTGTCACTCAAATCAGGACACAAGGTGGGACATATTAGTTTAGAATAATTATTATTGATTACCATTATTAGTAGATGCAGTTGCTAGGTTACTAGCTGCGCTTTTACTGTAGTCTCTTTCTTTCTCCATGCTACAAAATACAATGTCTGTTTGTTATGAATACTGCCCTTGTAAAAAAAAAAAAAAGCTACTTTTCCCATTTTCTCCAGAAATGAAATAAATACAACAATATTTGAAGAATCTTTTTTTGACAGGTTATTATGTAATTGGCATCTTGCAGAACAGCTGTTAAATGTGTATGTTTAACAGTTTGTTAGCCTTGTGTTTAAACAGCCTGTCATTTGTCGGTTGCCTTCTGGGAGAGATTCCAGTGCAACAGGCTAACTGGATGTAGAAAACTGATATGTGAATAAACTACATATTTTGAATTCCTGATCAAAAAATATACCATTCTGCTTTTTATTCATTTCTCAAACTGGCTACAATTCTGGCATGCTATATAGAGTGTCCATATGTGTTTGGACAGTGACATATTTTTGCATTTACTGTGCAATTTTCTACTGTCACTGTAAGTAGGACTATTTCTTTTAAAAAGGGCTACAATGCCCACAGTGACCCTCATATCTCCTTAAATTATGAAAAATGGGACCTCATAGCCATGTTTCAGTGAATATTACAAGTCACATCAGCAGAAAATGTCTCACACATAGCGACTGTACTATTCGTAAACACTTCCTAAAAAGACAGTGTTAGACAAAGCCATACGTTTTTGGTAAAACAATATTTACTCTTTATATACATTACATACATTTTATACATACATTATTTAAATGTATGTATAAAATGCAGTGTTTTTTCATAAATTCAACTTTCCCATTTACTTTAATAATTCATCAACAGTACAGTTATACAGTATCTGTATTCCTGTGTAAAATGTAGTGGTATTGTTGCCAAAGATCAACCTGTAGAGGGCAGCAGCCTCCAAGTTTGGACAGCAGCCGATAGGATGCCCATATAATAATACTGTAGATGCAGCGGTCAAAGTATTCAGATCTTTTACTTAATTAAAAGCAATCTCACAATGTAAAAATAGACCATTGCAAGTAAAAGTCTTAAAAACGCAGAAGTAATAACATCTAAATGAATTTCAAGTATTAAAAGTAAAAGTAATTTTCATTTAGCTGTATGTAGCTAGTTGAGGTGGAGCTAATTTTAATTACTTTATATCCTGATTGGTAGTGTAATCTATGACAATGCATCATATTTTATGAGCTGATCAAATGTTTTGTTTGATAATATGCAAAATACGTAGTAAATCTGTCAAATTAATGTAGTGAAGTAAAAATGACTATCTCTGAAATGTAGTGAAATACCCAAGTAAAGTACAAGTAAAACACTTGAATAAATGTACTGTTTTGACATTTCACTGCTTCCTGCATTATCAGATGGTTGCTGACACAGAGCATCAAAGTGGCTGTGTAGGGTCCCGTGGTCACCAAGGACTCTCAAAATTCTCTGTTTATTTGATCGGTGTATATTGTACAAAATACATTCAAATAATCAAACATCTTTCGATATCACCTAAGAAGAACATCCACAAGAACATCCTTATTTAGCTTCAAGCTGTGCTGGGTGTGTGGAGGAGGAATATAATTTCTACTTAAAGTCTTAAAAAAGTGTTTGTTGGTTATGGTTAAGATTAAAGTAGGGGGCTGTAGGAGTGTTCAGCAGAGACAACGGTCTCCACAAACCCGCACCACTATGCTGTCTGACAAACATGAGTCCAAGAATGTGCCGCCGAGAGATTTGTGTGAACAGTTTATCATTCTGGCCTGAAACTCCTGCAGCTGATTTCACTGACAGGTGCAACATCATCCAGAGAGGATGAACTAATCTCACAGTTGCAGACCACTGGGTTAGACAAACAGGGCTTGTGACCAGAGCATCGCTGTCCCAGTTTCTCCTCTACCAGCTGGTGAATAGTGGGAGGAAATGTGTCTCTCTCGTCTCTCAACAGCAGCTGTTGAGGTGTACTGAAACTTAGGTGCTTAAGTGCTCACATGCCGTCATTGGATACACTGTAACTGAACCGTGAAGCCTGTCGATGCCAGCTACTGCAGCTGTGTGAACGCAGAGCAGAGAACGGCTGGAAAAAACAGCATGCACGCTCAGCAAAATGTCCCCTAAAGGTTAATTAAATAAGAAATGTGGCCCGAGTAGAAGTCACAGTATTTACTGAAAAGCTGTTCACATGCAACTGCACATTTCCACGACTGCTGTGACTGTGTGTGAGCATGATGGAAGCCTCTCTTGAATCCACAATGTTGAGAAAATGTGGCACATCATCCAGACCAGCTGCTGTGACAAATGGAAAGGATCTGCTGCCAGTTTTTGAGGCCCAGGTGACAACAGGTGACACACTAGGCAAACACGGACAAACCTTACCAATCCGGACTTTTTACTACTCCCCACAAATTATGAGCCCTTGCATGGATGTAGTTTAACCAGATGTCCCTCAGGAAGACAGAGAGTGACTTCATCTCAGAAACAGCAATGATCTGTAGGCAGATTGTCAAAAAACTTCAGTGATGATGAATTTTGATGTGACATGTGCTGTACTCTGCAGAATAAGATGGTAACTGTTTTACACTATACATCTGCAGTGTATCAATTTATTATAAGTAGATAGTTATTGCAATACATGTCACACACACACACACACACACACACACACACACACCTCTTCTCAGCAGTAAAGTCAGCTCTTCAACAACTGCTACATAAGAAATACTGGGTATTGAATAATAATGGCACTCGTCAGCTCCAGAGGAAGAATCCCACTGACTTCAGTAATCTGCTGACTTTTCCTCCACCGTCGGGTTGACAGGTGGTATTGAGTGATATCTCAATATATAACTATTTGACAGATTGCCATTACCTGCTAAACATTAGGGCGTTAGTATACTGGCATTGTTATTTAGCTTAAAGCATCAGAAAGCGTGGCTGTCTGGTTATTGCATTTTTGCTTGAAATAAATGTATACGTCTGTTGTTTTCTCAATTCTTGAATGTCTTTAGAGGGTAAAAGCTTTCAACCTACACAAACTTTGCTAACCTTTTTCTTTTTGGCTTTCTTTCAGATACTGTTTGCAGTAGTGGCTTGTACTGTCACGGCAGGGGAAAAACGAGGGCAGCTCCCTGGTTTAGAGGCATACAAGTCACAGGATGTTTGACTGTGGACAGAGGCCAGAGAACCATGGCCTGTGATAGGCATTCAAAATCTGTTCTCTAGTATTTTTATAAATCTCAGTTCATTGACAATCTCTCAATCTCAGAAATACACTGCATCCTGCTTAATCCTCAGTGTGCTAAAAGCCTTTTCATTTAGTCATGACTCACTCCTCACAGCAAATTGACTGTAAATTCAATTTAGTCTGTGTTATCTCTGATGGGTGAGAATCAGATTTGCAACTAAACCAGAAACATTTTGTGTGCTACATCAATATGCACCACTTACATTTTGACTTGAGCAAGCAAGAAGGGCACAAACAATAACAAATACTGTACTTTACATGTTATAATTATCTTTTAAAGTACAAAACCTACTACATGTGAGCTATTTCTATGAGGAGCTGGTTCTGTGCATGTTATATAATAAGCCTACTGCATGATGGCTATCAAATTAAAACTAAAAACTCATTACTTTTGTGATTCCCAAGTCATTTTCCTGACCACTTGCAGTATTGAGGGTTATATCTTGAAGAGAAAATTAGGCAGCTGTTTGTGTTTGGATATTTTCCTGTATGGCTAAACACCCTGGTCACAGATCAGAATCAGAATTTGTTACGGCCAGGGCTGGAACGGGCTAATATCACATTGGCTGATAGCGCTAACACACTTATTTTCAGACAATAATTCCTGTAACAGATGTGAACACCTGTTCAACAACCACTTTCAGTCTGCTCTTGCTGCCTCATTCTTGCTGGATGGTTTCTGTGAAACCATGACAACAGGCCCCAGCTATCATGCTATCATGATTTTCTCCTCAGTGCCATGACTTTATTGGCTGTGAATACAATTGTTTGTGCAATCTGTGTATTTACTATATGTTGAGGTTGGGAGGGGGATTAAGTTATCCTTCAGCTTATCTCCATCAAAATGACTGATTATGCTGTCAGCAATGGTTGTGGCCTACATTTGAAAGACAGCCTTGTTTGCTCTGGCTGGGAGCCACTAGACCTTGTAAATACTACGGATGCACTTTTATCTGCAGACGAGTATTACCTCATTGTGTTTAGTAAGAGCAATAACGCTGCAGTTTGGTTAATGAAAGTGGTACAGGGGGCCTTTTCCTGTTGCTGCTGCCTCTGAGAAACTGTATAGCCTGCGGTTCACCTTAGTGTTCGCATAATTTGCATATAGATGAGAATCATATCACATTATTGCATTGGGGGTATATTAATAATGGGGTTGTTGAACAGGATACGGTACTGTACAACAGACTTGTGTAGATGCAGAAACAGGTGGAGCCCAGAGCAGTGGTTTCTGCCTTACTGACTTCACAACTTTCTGCTTTGCATCAGCCAGACTTTCTTTCTTTCTCTTGTTTATGCCAAAGAATTTGTTGCCTGCGTCGATCCACTGTCACATTTCTGACTAGGCTTCTAGCTGGCTACTTCACAAAGGGTCTAAATTACTCCCCCCCACCCAAACTGAACACAAAAACACCACAGGGACACAAAATTGTTTGACCTCCTGATCCCCTCCTATCTGCTCCCGCTAGTCCCCACCACTGTAGCACTATTACAGGTCTGTCATGCTCTTAAATTGATTTCACTGGCTCAGTGGGTTTGACATGGACAGCCCAAGGACCCTAACTCTCACACACACGTATACCTGTATATACACACAGTGGTACTTTCTTGATTAGTATTAGTAGTACACTCAATAAAAAAGGGGAAAGAGCTGGGCTGTCTGGATAAACACTGTGTCAAAGTGCATTTCTTTGATGTTAAATTTCTTAGTTATTTCACTCAACCTAGCAGTGGCCTGCATGTTACTTTTCCTGCTCTCTATCCAGGCAGCTGCATCATGAAGACAGCCCACAGATGAATGTTTACAGTAGAGCCTCAATAAAACGTATTGAAGATACTTATCTTGCTAACGGTGTATTTTTTAAAAAGCAGCGCAAGCTTGGGAAGGCAGGACAAATTTCCACAAAGCAGTCAACCTAACCATCCCAAATCTACTAGGTGGTACCAAAAAATAAATTATTTTGGATTATAGCAAACATTTGTTGTTATTTTGTCCATACTGGTTGTTATGGAAAAGTTGCACGTGTCGCTAGGATAGGATGGCTAGCTATTAAATCTTAATACTGTTTTTGTTTTCATCATTTTGTGTTAGAGATGACAACGTGTTGTTTCAGGTCTTCACCATCATCAGGTTGTATAAGTTACTATATGTTAGCTTTTATAAAATAAGTCCCTACAAACACACAGGTTTTTCGCTGTAGACGTATTGACATTTCACAGTAGGACAAAGGTGGTAAGAATAAAATTAATGATGGCTGAATTCCATTTCTGTTTCAGGGTCTGGGGCCATTGTTAATGTTATTAAAACACCTGTGGTCTTCATCCTGTGACAAGTCATAACGCCTGCAGTGAAAAAGGCCTTTTTTCCTTAAGACTGTGTGGTGTACAGCCTGATTGACAGCTCCCTCACTCTCCTATTAGTTTTGTTGCACCTGATGAGGCAAATTACACCTTTTAGTTAGTAGTTTTGGTGATCAGCCGAATAATTGATTAATAATTGAAAACACATGATGTGGGTTTTGCAGTAATATACAAAATGTGTTACAATTTAAGAATTTGTGTTAATATTCAAAGATTTGATTTAAGTAGTGAATTAAAAGAGACAAAGATATCACAATGTCAGGTTAGTTTTATATATTTCTGTTGAATTAATATAACACAATACTGTTAATGACTTATTTTAACTTACTTGCAGATTGCAACCAACTGAATTCTACTTGGTCTTGGCCGGAAAAAGTCCCTACTTTAGAAACATGGTGGACTCAGTGGAGGAGGAACCGCTCTCTCTGTAGATAGAAATGGCTCATTCTAAGATAACGAAAACACAGTTCTTATTTTCAGGTGATCATACAATATAAAAATACTCATACTAATAGTAATATATTATACACTATACTAAGCCTGTTCACCCTGCTGGGGGAGGTGCAGAGAGCAGCTAGTTCCCTCAGGCAGTGAGGCTGTTGAACAACAATTCATTATGCAAATTAATAATAATTCTTATTTTTATGATTTAAAAAAATAAAAATTGACTCCCTGACCTGTTTTTTTTGGGGTGGGAGGTAACATAAAGGAAACTAAATTTCCCTCTTCAACCTTGGTGTTAATGACAATAAAATATCCTTGAATCCTTGAATATTATGTTCCATTTCTGCAAATAGATCCTCCTAAATGTCACACACTGGACCTTTTATACATGGGTCAAATCAGCCCAGCACATGTTCTCTGCCATAGCGACCCAGCACTTGTATGGTATTTGTAGTTCTTTTGTTTCTATATTCTATTATATTTTGGAGATAGAAACAGTTGCTGAACATAAAATATAAAATCCAGGCTGCTGTTTCCAATGTCAAGAATACATTTTCAGTATTATAATAACAGAACAGAAGATTAAAACATCATCGTTTTAAGGAGAGGGAGTACAAATACTACAACTATTCTACTAATATTTCTCTTCTCCCCGCCCCACGCGCTGCCGTCACGCTCCAGGCAGCCAGTGAGGCGGAGGGAGGGGGGAGGTGGGCGGAGGGGAGGGATTGGGGGTGGGGGGCGGCGGTGTTTCACGGCGGAACAGAGGCAGTCAGCATCGTCGCAGCAGCGCTTACAACAAGAGCGGCTCTCGGGCTTTGTTTTGTGGACGTGAATGAGCTCCATCACCTCCTTCAGAAATGTGGACGGATATAAGGACGTTGTTACTTTTTCAGTCGTTAGTCCTGAGGCTTCATTTCTCGGAAGGTCAGTAGTGTTTGTTTTTTTGTATTTATCTCCACCTGCGAGTGAGACGATAGTGAAATAAAATATAAACCGTATAGTGTGTGTGTGTGTGTGTGACGCGCTGTAGAGGTGAGCTACCGGTACCCAGCGCGCGCGAGCTCTTGATACCAAGAGAGAAGAAAAATAGAAATAGTTTTCTCGTATTTAATGTTACTGTGTGATAGCTCACCCGTTTAATGCTGTTTAATAAGTGACTGCTTCAGTGTGGGTGAAGCCCTAGCGTGTCTGTCATGTGTTCCCCGGACTGTGAGCATCCATACTGCATCCGCGGTATAGTAGCTGTAGTAGCCCCACACTGAATCTTTGTCTTCACGCTGTGGAGAATTAATGTCCGGCAGACACGGGGCCTCCTGTTCCCCTCTCTCTTCACACAACAGTTTCTAATCATCATGGTTAAAGTGGAGTGAAAGAAAACACAGGAGCATGACGCTGCCAGCGCCTCAGCCAATTGACCTGAATGAATGCTGAATATCAATTAGGCATTCATTTGCAAATGACAGTTGAACTAGAAGCGTTTGTTGCTCTGATCCATCTGGACGCTGTTCTTCCCAACTCCTGTTTGTTTTTGTTTTTTTTGTTTTTTTTCTTCCAGCAACGGATGAGTGTGAGGATGGACAGTTTCAGTGCAACAACAAAAGGTGTATACCGATCATCTGGAGGTGCGACGACGATGACGACTGCTCAGACAACAGTGATGAAGACAACTGCCGTAAGTGTTACAATCAGGGGAGAAACGTGGGCTGTTAACTGTGGGAACGATCTGTGGTGGTTAAGAGGTAACGCAAATGTCATAATACATAGGAATAACCTGTCACAGCAATATTAAAATAGCATAAAATAATGAAAACATTTAATTATTAGGTCACTACAACTCCTCCCCTTCCTTCCCTTCCCACCCAGAACAATGTGTGAAAATGTGCACTAAACCATAAAAGCATCTCATTGTATTCTTAAGATCTTAGATAGTCTGTTGAGTACTTTCTTTTATCCATGAAAAATGTTCCAAAAGTTAAAAAACTAATTAGATTCATATGATTAATATCATCAAGAGACAATACCTGGAACTGCTCCCATCAGCTATCCATTAGAGCTTGACTTAATGGTCTGTTCATGACTGGAATGTGTATCGAAGCTCCTCTATATTAATGAGCTGAAACAGTTATGAACCCAAAAATGCACCCATATCCCCCCTAGGTCTCTGTCCTCTCATAATTTCTTATTATTTTTATGGTGTATTTGCTATTCTATTAGCATTTTATCTTTTCTTTTCAGTGCCTTATATTCAGGGACACATAAAAGCTTCCAGAGTTTACCAAGAGGCACAAATAAAATCATGTTCTGAGTGGGGATTAGCCGTGTGTGTGTGTGTGCCTCAGGCCCCGAGTGTGTGCAGGTGATTTTACCCCTACTACACTTACACTATATATATATATATATATATATATATATATATATATATATAGAAACCTCAGGGAAACATGTTTATTTATTTTTAAATGAGGGTTGATTGGGAGCAACCATTTTCCAATCATCTTTCAAATAGTAGGCTGTCAGGCTGAGAGAGGGATTGCACGGTGCCGCGGTCTACTGCACAAACCTCTGACAGGTATCTTGGATGTGTTGTTCAGCACGGAAATAATAGAATTCCAGTTTCCTCACTGACTGCGAGCCAGTGGCCTATATTTTGGAAGAATGCTTGCGCTGAGACCAGTGAAGTTGTGCCAAAGCTGAATCCAAGCCCTGCATGTTTGCCATGCAGCTACGTTCTTTTGTGTCTGGGTTAATTGTGGCTCGGGAGAAATTCCTGCACCTCCCCACACATGCATACATACATGCTCTGTATTTCTCTTCACAGTCTTTGTTTTCTTTCTGTCTCTTTCTCCCACAAACTCCCACACACACGGACCTGTTGTATACAGCCACCTCGCGGTTCCTCCGTGCTTGGAGGTGTTGCCATTGTTACCCCCCCTCTGAGACCAGCAGGATAAGTCCTTGGGCATGCCAAAGAAAGCATTAGGAGTATCTTTGCTCCTAAAACATTAATGTGTCACTGCTTCCCACACACACACACACACACACACACACACACACACACACACACACACACACACACACACTCAAGGCGGTGATGTTTGGAAAAACATTATTACTCTGTCAGGCTGTATTTCCTCCGTATTTCTTTTATGAATGAAAAAGGAAATTGTCACTGAGATTTTATTACCCCGTGTGTTTTCCATCAGGCTGAGCTTCTGACACATTTAGGGTTTGAGTGAAAACACTCCTCCTGAAAGCCTGCTTCTGTCAACCTGTCATTTAATGATTATAACAGTCCAGGAACTTGCTATTATATTAGAGAGTGGCCTTCATTCTGTGTCCATTTCCCTTTCTTTGTGTGTCTTGCTGCATCTGCGTGGGCAGGCAGATGAGGCTGGTTGGCCTGCGCAGAGTCAGATTTGTCTCTGCACTGGCATCCTCATTGTGTTGGCTAGCGGAATTATTTGTTCAACTTTTACCCTGTTTGATGTGGAGGAGAGGTTCCCTGGCACACTGTGCAGCTCTGGCGATATTAAATGAATGTGTTACAATTAAAATCGTTCTTCTGCATCTGAGGAGGCTAAAAGACAGAGGGACAGGCAGTGAAGTGTAAACCTGTATAACATATGCTGCACAGGGGCGAGAGTTCGGAGAGGATTTAGCTTGTACATACAGAAAATCCTGTGCAGGAATTTCACAGATAGTTTCTTGTTGAATATAAAGTGGTTGCATTTTTAAATTAAAGTTCCTGAGTGGTTGAACGGATGGTCTCACTTTTTATTCTATTTGTATTCACAATATATTTATTTACAGCACAATGCCAAGCCCAAGAATCCAGTGACTGAATGTGTGCAACCGACCATGCTTATCAAATATGCTGACAGGAAGAAACCTTTGCCGCAGCTACTTATTTGTCATGCCAGTGTCACCTTATTTTATAACCTGACTGGCGCTTGTAGCTGTACCACACAGAACAGGTGTAACACTCCTAAAACACTGTTACTGCTCCTACCAGCATCATACCCTTTATGCACCGGGATCCTCCTCCATCCATCCGCCCTGTTCCTGTTAACCCCATCCCCCACCGGTCCACCCCCAGACTGCACTCTCATCACCATCCCCCCCTTCATCTAAACTCTATTCCCCACTGACCAGTCACTTGCTGCATGCACCCATACATTCATACATGCATAATTGCACTCATAAGTATGCATGGACACAAGTATGGACCGAACGCATGTGAGCATAAATACATACACGTGCATGAATGCATACCAATGATTTCTGCACTTTCTCTGACAAAGAATTGAAAAATCACACAGGATAGAAAGTCTATATTTTGTTTACTGGTTGCATAACATTTGTGGGGAGGATGAGATGCAAAGCCACGCTGCCTCTCGCCTCGCCTCTGAAGTTGACAGCAGTGGAGGCAACAAAAGAATTCTGCCTTGAATTCCCAAAGTCAGATTTGTGCCATCTCTGACATGGAGCAGCTGTTTAATCCTCATTCTGATTATAGCAGATATCACCCAGTTTCCATCTATCCGCGTTACCTTCAAAGTTCAGCATGTCCGCTTGACTTTCTTCTTCATCCTTGGATATGATAACGATCTATTTCATCCGTGTTCATGAATTTAACATCTAGACCTGCAGGGAGGCATCTCACATCACCACATAGAGCTCAAAGTGTTCTATTGTTTTCCTGTGTGATGCAGAGTCAGCAACAAACTGTGAGCCTCCTCGCTTTGTGTTCTTTTACCTAATAAATCCGCACAACTCCTTCAGAGGCAAACTCAGTTTTGAAACTGCTGGCGCTCCTCCACACCCCCTGTAGTCATAGTTAATTTCTTTATTCCAAAGCCCTTTCAGTGGAGGCAGCCTCCTCTGCTGCAGCGTTGAGTGTAACCAAAGTCCTGCCAACACACCAACTTCTATAAATGCTAAAAGTAACCCTGCACCCTTGGTGAATGCTTATTTAATGCTTTATTCAACAGTGTTTAAACCTCAGCTGCTTTTTGCTCAGTAACATCTGACACCAGCTGAGGACAGAGTAAAACCACAAGTGTAAATCCAGTGTGCAACTATCTTTATCTTTTATCTTCATGTTGTTGGACAAGACATGGTCTGTCAATTTGGACATTCTCTACTTTCCTGCACAGTTTGTAAATTGATTAGATAATCTGTGAGATTATTTTTGGCTTCCAACCATATTGTTGCTTGTCTATAGAGCTTCTTGCTGTGTTCCTGGTACGAGATCTTGTCCACTGAAAGGCACCATTGTCTTTTCGGAGTGCTTTTCATGTCTTGGCAATAGTCACAACTGTTCACTAAACTGATTTTCTGCTCTGAAGTGCTTCAGGTGTTGCTGCGGATACAATAACGTGAGAATCAAGCTAATGGTAACAGAATGCAAGTGGGCCTCACATTATGGGATTTGATTTTTGTGTTGCTTATCCAGTTGAAGGTCCGATGTGTGTCTAGATGGGGCCTTTAGCGTTTTTCACAAGTTTCGCATTCCACCTTCGTTTTTCCTTCTCCTAGTTACCATGTCTGTATCAAACGTCACCTTCTCTCTTCTCTTCTCTTCTCTTCTCTCGTCTGTCATGTCAGCAACCAACAAAAACTAAATCCTTGGTGCCATGTTGTCTGTTTCCTTTGGCACTCATGGGTGACTGGAGATCTCCAGTCAGCTCTACTTTCTGAGTACTTATGGACTTGCTGTTATTTCTCTGACAAGTTGTTCTGCTCCTAGCTGTGTGGACACTACCCAGCCAGGCTAGTTGACATCAATATCTTATAACATGTGAAGTAATGTGATGTAAGATGAGACCTTACTGAGATTTACTTGTAAGTGCAGAAAAATGAATACAGCAATACAAGATTTTCTGCTTTGTGTCATAAAGGATTCGGGAAAAGAGAAAGACCCATCATCTTTTTGTGTTTTTTGACTTATCAGTGTTGAAAACATGTCTTGGTTTATGCGCATGTATTTCCCCCCACAGTCTTTGCCTCCGCTTGTCTGTGTTATGTGAAGGGATGTGTTTGACAGCAGGGAAGTGGGGGGTTGTTGATGATGCGGAAAAACAAAGAGTGCGATAAAAAAAGAGTGAAGTTAAAGTGGGAAAATAAATAATTTTGACCTGCAGGGTGAGTGAGGAAGGTTGTTTGTGCTCCTATCAAATTGTCTCCATAATCTCCACGGCTGTTGACAACTTTACACAGCATGGAAGGGATTATGCCTTTATCTCTCCACGCAATGAGGCATGTTTTCCATTGGGTCTGTGGTCAATTTATGTTCTGTTAACTCACTTACTTGCAGTTCACATAATCATGATAGAGCCTTAATTAGTGTATCAATATTTAATAGCCTGGATAAGGAAAAACTTTTGGTAAAACTAGAACGAGTCGTTAAAGCCGGTCTAAATTCTGAATTTGAATTTCAAAGAAGAAAAAAACATTATTGGACATAGTTGTGGGAGGAGCTTCTGGATGGGTGTTTTCTGTGGTAATGGTTAACTGACCTTTTAGAGCCAACCTTGCTATTAAAGTGTTGTGCTGTCAACTTTTGTGATGCTACTGAGAGCACATGATAAATCGCCCTGTATAGCGTACGGACGTTGATACAAGTTTGGTTTTCTCCCATTTTCCAACAGTTTTCTACTGTAGCAATTTAAG